CTGGACCTGCTGTCTGGGCTCTTGATGGATTCTTAGAGTCACACTTCTCAAACTGGACCAGACAGCAGCTCCCTGGGTCTCTGCTTAAATTGTACCAAGTGTCCAGCACATGGGAAGACCTGGGAGTCTGCATATCTGACCAGCTCCCGATGATGCAGTGCTGGTGCTGGTGCTGGTACTGGCACTGTTGGTTTCTCCTGGACCACACTCTGAGTAGCAGGCTTTGTTAGAACTTCTGAAGTTCTCTCACAGGTGTTTTTAAAAATTCTGTTGATGCCTTGGGTGTTTTCTGGGAGAACAGCAAGGCCTGGAGCAGTGAGCACCTCCCTTCCTCGGCCTCACTCTCCATCTTTCTCCCTTCTCCCTTTCTCACCCCAACCTGGCTCTGAGAAGTGGGGGCCTGCCAGGTGCCTGAGGACTTGCTCTTCCCAAAAGGGAAGAGCACCCTACTCCCTACCCTGCCACAACTTACTCTTTTCCCTGCCATTGGCAGGAAACCTACCCACCTCACCAGTCCTTGGGCAATGGGGCCATGGTGGGGTCCTGGCTTCAGTGTTGGCAGCAGGAGGGAGAGGACAGTCTGCTCTGTTGCTTCCATTCAACTTACTGAGCATACAGTTATGGGGGCACAGCTCTGCCACAGGTGGGAAAATTAGGGGGCTCCTCTGCAGGAGGCTGCAGTCTGGTGGAAGAGGAGAGTGACAACACAATGTCAGGACACTGGGCCCTGACCAGGGGGAAGGAGGACGTGTGCAGGGGTGAGGGGTTCCTGGGGTGAGGGTTCCCAGGGTAGGGGTGCTCCAGAGCAAGGGGTTCCTGGGGTGAGGGTTCCCAGGGTGAGGGATACCTGGGGTGAGGGGTGGTCACAGAAGGTGTGTGTGGTGCTAAGCCTTGCAGGGTCATCAGTATAAACCAAGAGGGAAGAGGGAAGGTGTGCCAGGTGGAGGGTACTCTAAGATCCTTGAACCTATGCAGGTTGAGGAGAGTTCTATGTGCCTCTGGCTTAGCCTCCATGGGGGAGTGTGGATTACAAGGGTGGACTCAAGCATTCACCTGTGTGCTCAGCCAATACCATCCTATTAGACACAGGACTAAATTCCCCAAACTCCTTATTCTGACTTCATGCCAGTCCAGTTATGCAGAAGTTCTTCACTCTGACTTTCCTGATCTCTCAAGGCCACGCCAGGTTCTCCCATCACTGCTTCTCTCCAGGATGTGGGGGAGCCCCGACCTCCCATTTCCTAAGTTTCTGGCCAAGAAGTCACTTGTTACTTTCCCCTGTCATTAAATCCCAAACCTGCCCATTGTCCTGACCACCTTCCCTCTTGTGATCTCTGGGATTTATGCCCACCCTTAGCCCTGAACCACATCCCCCCTTCTTCCCCAGAACCCAGGGGAACTATGCCTGGTCACTACCCCTGCTCAGGCTGTGCCTCTTACGAAAGGCCCTGCTGTTGTCGTCCCTGACTCCAAGGTCAACTCCACTCCCACCTCTGCCTATCAACCTTCCCTGACCACACCAGGGGATAATTCCTCCCTGTTAAGGAGTTCTGCCACCCTCTTATTGGGCGTCATTGTATGTTCCTCTCTGTGCACAATGCCTGACACAACAGGTGCTCAAAAACATTTGTTGAATGACTGTACAAATGTGATCTCTGTCTCCTGGCAAAGCTTCTAGCAGGCAGGGGCCCTATGTTCTCCACTATGCTGTTGACATAGTATATCCAAAGCTGCTTTACCAGATGTATTTGTTTACTGACAGCTTGATACCACCAATACCAATGCGGCACTAGCTCCCTTAAGAGGGCTGAATATATACATGTACATACATGTGCTTACCAAACACACATGTACAGAGGAGACAGTGGGCTTCTGGTCCACACCCTGATGGCCCTCTCTGGTCTCCTCAGTGGGAGTGGAGTAGAACTGATGGTTGAGGAGCATGGATATGTTGCATGCTCTGGGCTTGACTGGTCATGTGAGCAGCATCTCTGCTGTTAGTGCACCTTCTCCACCTCCTCTTATGGGCTGTCTCTTGGGACTGGGAGAAGGGAGGATTTTGTTTCGTCTTGTTTTGTTTTTGGTGGTACTGGTGATTGAACTCAGGGCCTCATCTAGGCTGATGCTGTACCACTCAAGCCACACTCCCAACTCAAGATAGGACTCTGACATAGAAGTAGTTCTTGGGAACAAGACCCAGGGTGATTTCATCAATCTTATTTTCCTGAGATAATTGGTTTAAAACAAGGCCCACTTTAATGGAAAATAAAACAGACAAGACAATGGTGTCCTTTGTATGTTTACTGTGGTACAGCAAGATTTGCCAAACCAGAGCTGATATCCTTGGTTTGGGGTCACACGCCTTCCAAGCAGTCCAAAGGACATCTTCAAACATAACATTAAGATAACTCTTTATTTCTTTGACAGTGACTTCTCCAAATGCATATATAATAAATAAATAGAAAATATATCTTTGTTCATGGTGACGCCTACGAGAACTGTTTACATACAAACACTGTACATCCAACTCCTGAGAAAGGACCAGCTATTTCAGCAACAGGAAACAGACAGGCATTTCAGAAGACTGATGTTTTCCTGAAAGGCCTAACTCCACTGTGACATTTACAAACAGAAAGAACAACAAGAACGATTTTCTTAGCAATATAGAATTCATGCTACCAAGGAAATGCCTGGACATTGATTGTCTCTTGGTGAACAGTTTAGGAAAGGAAGTTTTATGTACAGATCCTGTACTGATGAACATATGTACAACTCTGAGAACTTTCCACGACATTCAATATCCCTGGCCACCTGAAAGTGATTGCTTCCTCAGTGGTTCACAGTGTGAGACCCTTGCATTGAAAGAGTTGAAGACTCAACTAAACTGTAGACAAGGACGTGAGGTCATCATTGTAGCTCTCCTCCCCACTTACTCATCTCCCTGGAAGAGGCCCTTCCTGTAATTTTAGCTTTTGAAGCAGCCTTGTCATAAGAGGCAGGGTCTCGGTGTCCCCTCCCAGTAGCTGGGAAAGTCCTCTCTGGGAGTCAGTCTACCTGGGGAGAAGACTGGGACCACACCTCAAGGGTGCAGCTGGGCAGAGGGAGCCAAGCAAGCCCTCTTTGAAGGAAAAGATTTATTGTTGGGGCAGGAAAGGGAATGATGCAGTTCATGAGGCTCGAAGACTGGTGCCCTCTGAGTGAGACCGCAGAGTTTTCCCTCATCTGGGTCTCTGAGCTGTCTCCAGGTAGACAAGGGAGAGAGCAGGGTACTGAGAGGGAGCTCAGAGGCCTGCAGCTAAGAGGCTGGAGCCATCAGGTCTTCAGATCCCTATGATAAGTCCACTTGGCTCACCAGAACATGTTGGCATGTCCTGATGCTGCTCACTGGCTGCACCTGCACAGCTGTGGAAATATAGCACCAAGGAATCACCACAGCCATCATGCGCCCCAGTGGCCAGTGGGCAGCATGAGTAAGGCGAAGGTGGCCAGGACCACAACATCAAAGGGAGGGCAGGCTGTGTATGCAGAAGAGCAGGAGGGAAACAGACATCGGGCCAAGACTGTTCTATTCTGATCCTTTTCTTCCCTCAAAGGAACTTGGCCCCTTTTTGGACACTAATGGGATACCCTGGCCAGTTGTTGAGGCAATGTGGTATGGCAGTGAGTGTTGGGAGCAGGGGGGCCCTACCTTGAGTCTGGACCTGGTTGAGAGGCTTTTTCCCATCTCAGGGCTTCATTTCCCCAGCTGTGGAATGAAGGCTTTGGACTAGGTGGCTCCCAAGGCCTTCCCAGATCTGAACCCCAGCTCACTGAGGTGTCAGGCACTCGGGTTTCCTGGTCTTTGCTCACTTCTGGGTGAAGTGCAGACAGGGCCCCTCACAGGAGCTCACAACTGTGGACTTGACTCCAGTCTCCCTTGAAGATAGAGCATGGATGGCTGAGGACCAAATTCTGCAGTACATTGAGCATCCTAAGTACAGCCCATCCTTTCCTCTGACCATGCTTCTCTCTTGAGCCAGCAGAGAGTGAAGGGTGGCCCTGCAGACACCTAGCTTCAGCAGATGGTGGCTGGAAGGCCTAGCCACTATGGAGGCTACCTCATCTCTCTTGCCTGTCCACCCTCATTCCTGTGAGCATTACTTTCTCCTGACCCACCAAGTACATGTGATCTTCCTTCCCCTGAACTGGCATGATCTCCATGTCACCTCTCTTCAGGTTCCCTGCCTGGCTTCAGAGTGAACTTGAGTCTGACTGCCAACCACCTAGACCTCCATCCTCCCAGACCTCCATCCTCCCCCCAGGCATTGGTTCCCACCTCTTCATGCCATGTGCCTCGTGGAACCCCATGTCTGGGTTCCAATACAAGTGAAAGGCCACCAAATTCTGGAACCGCAGAACAGAAGGGGCTTTGTGAATCACTTAGTCCAAGTCCCAGTGTACCAACTGACGTCTCCTGAAAGGTGTGACCCCGCCAGGCAGGCCTCCTCTCTCCCCAGTAGCCGGCTCCATTTAGCAAGCTCTGTCTACACACCCAGCTGCTGATCCCAGGAAAAAAGATGTACTCAAAGTCAAGCACCCTTTTCCTACATCTGCCCCCTAACATGTCTGCTGGTGACCATAGGGGTTTGTGAGTGACCAGTCCTCCAGGCTGCCTCCTGCCAAAGTGGACCTTGGCTACCAGCCCAATCCAGGTCTCCTGGCATGGCCCCACACCCCCCGCAGAAGAGGCACAGATAAGACAGAAGCACCCAGAGGATGCAGGGAAGAGGTTTCTAGCACCAGCCAGCACTGCCCTGGGGGCTGCAGGTAGACTTGAGGAGGGTGGTGCAGGTGGCAGCACCAGGGGTCTCTGATACCCTTCTCTTGGCCCATCAGGGTAACACTTGGCTTTGCCAGGCAGCAGCTGGACGGGCTGGGGAGCCAGCTATCCCACCCTGCTCTGCTGCCAAGAGTCTGCTGTCAGAGTCCACTACCAGCCGGTACCAGGGTGGCCACTCTCTTCACAGTTTCTTCTTCCTCACCACAGGGATGGGTACCACTTGGAAGATTTTTGCCTTGAGGTCATCAGTCTCCAGAGTCACCCAGGTGGGCCGGAAGCTGCCTTTGAAGCCAACGAATGTCAGTTTCTCTGAAAAGTAATGACAATCACATAAGCAAAACTCTAGGAGAATTCCTGCACCCCATCCTTCAAGGGCTCCCCTTTGCTATTCTCCGGCCCCTGCTGGGCACTCCCTCCCTTGTCACAGTGGTCTCTGTTCCTCTAGGAAGAACTTGGTTTGTATGGGGCACTGGAGGCCCCTATACATGGTTCACCTGAGCCTCATGGCCACCTCAGCAGCGTGGTGGCTCTGTTTGACACAGGAGGGCCATGCATAGCAGAGAATGGGCAGGCATGGTAGTCCTGCCTGCCTTCGAGCTGACCTATGACCACAGCAAGTCTCTGGAGTCCAGTGTTCTGTCAGAGATGCCATTTGTCTACAAGATCTCACTCATTCTCAGCTCTGTCACTCTGTGGCTTTAGAAGTGAAGGATTTGTAGCCCAGAACCCTACACAGCACAGTCTTCATTTCAGAGCTTGACAGACCAAGGGGCCAGAGATCCATGTCTACACTCAGGAGTGACCCAGCTTGGCAGCAGCATACCTCTACCATCACTGACCAAGTGCCACTTGACCTCAGTCCCCTCATATACATGAGCTTTTGGCAATAGGATCTTAATTGAAAAGACAGAAGTCCCCACATGATTCCAGGACTGCTCTCCTGTGGCTTTCATCACTCCTGAGCTTTCTCTGGCCACTGCCTGGGATTGACACCCATGTGAGGAGTGCTGGCTTTCTTGTCTTCCATAATCAGGATACAGAAGCTCAGAGCCCTGGCTTTGGGTTAGGAAGGGCAGGCTTCATATCCTAACCTTAGCCAAGTGGCCTGTGTCACTCTTGGTTTCCTCATCCTAAATGGAAGTAATAGTACCTGTTGCCCAGGTTATGAATGAATACCTGAGATAATTAATTACTAAGCTTTCTGCAAGGTTGAGACTGAACATCAACGGTAACTGTAATGGTCATCATCATCTTCCCCAGAGCTGCTCTGCTCTCCCTCTCCTTGTGACCTCCCCACAGTCTCTGTGGATGGTCTATGACAGTGGACATCAGGGCATTGGTGTTAGGCTCCATTGCACAAGAGCTGTGTGGCCGAGAACAGGCTGTCTCTCTCTTTCTCTCTCTCTCTCTCTCTCTCTCACTGGTATTGGGGTTTGAACCCAGGGCCTTGCACTTGTGAAGCAGATGCTCTACCACTTGAACCACACCTCCAGGTTATTTTCTCTTCTCTTCCTATCTTAGAGGACAAGCAAGAGTACCATCAAGGGCAAAGGGCTGTACCAATGTGGACATCAGCTGGATCTATGAGGAAGACGTAGATTGCCAGTCTGACTATGGGAACTGAGTAGGCAGGACAGACAGCCACTTTCTGGCAACCCTTTCATAGAGTAAAAAGAGCCACTTGTGAGCAGAGGTGAACAACTCTCACAACTTCCTTTCACATTTTGATCACAAGTCAAAGCAACTGCTGCAGTGAAGATGCTAAACAGGTGATATCCTATTGTCCACTCCAGTTGACCACAGGTATGTTGAGGATTCTGAGGTTGTCCCCAGTTTAGTGGAAATGTTTCAGACCCAGCCGGGACAGCAGTGCTAGGCATTGTCCCCTTTGGTTCTGTGGTCAACTTGTACCTCCATCTGAACACCTACCTTTCAGTTTGAGACCCTTGTCTGCCCCCAGCTTTTCCAGCACTCTGGTCCAGGGGCCTCTGGTGATGTATTTTCCTTTCGACGCCATGAGAATGATGGAACTAAGCAAGAAGGGACGGATTAGGTGATGGAATGACAGCATGGGAGCAAAGGTGCTGGGGAGGGGTGTTGTTCACGCATGGTGGCACTTAAGTGACAGTGCCAGGGGCCTGGCCAGGGACTTGGGAAAGGGAAGCCTTCCCTGTATGCAGAGCTGACTGCTCTTTCTGTATGATGCAAACATTCTGAGCACCTATCCCACACATCTGGCCACGGTCAGTGCCCTGGTCTGCTCAAGCCTGGACACTGCTCTCTGCTGTTACACACCTATCCCCACACGGGACAGAGTTTGTACAGCACCAGGGCTGCAACACCAGCACCTTTGCCAGACTGGGATCACAGTGGGACTTCATACACATTTCTTTATTTTGAGTGTTTTCAGCCCTGTTGTATAGAACCAGATAGAAACTCAGTGATGGACAAAGCCAGGGCAGATGGAAGAAAGCAAAAAAGAGAATGAGAAAGGGGAACTGAGGGAAGAGGAAGGGAACATGTTTCAGACTATAGAGCCATCCAGAGCTCCTGACAGTTCTGGATCCTCTGGGAGCCCATCAGAACCACACAGTGGACCCACAGCAGACCTTCTGATAGAAGCTTCCTGTCCACAGCTCTCCTGATGACTTTTTTGTGCCTATTAACGCTAAGGGAGCACTGGCTAGATTTTTTCCGGAGCCCATGTTTCCTTTGGTGCCTTCTTTGTGTGACCTAGAACTGGCCTCCTCTAAGCCATAGGAGAGCGTGGCCCAGTTTGAGATATTTCTGGGAAGAGCACTACTGTGTAATCATCACACTCAGATCAATCTCTTCTGTTGGTACCACCTCCCTCTCTGGTCAGGCAAGTTTTGCCTCTGTTTTGCAAATAGGAGATTGAGCAAATAATTACAGAAGATCTGCCAAAGGGGAGCCTTGCTTGGGAGGGGCATAGGTCTGCAGCAATGTGTGTGCCTGACCTGAAGGTCCCAGCTTGTAAAAGTGCAGCTTGGGAGCAAGGAGTCACTACTTCCTGCCTGGGGCTGTTTTTAGTTCTCAGTGCTGGGAAGACAACCGCCATGGTGAGAGACTCATGCTGGACCAGACAAGGGGAAGTGAGCACCTCCCTGCAGAAATCAGGGCAGGAGCTCTTCGGGGCTTCCAACTCCCATCTCAAAAGCATTCTGTAACCACAGACCACAGTCCAGACATGGAAAAACTATGAAATTCTGGAACCTGTTGCTACCCCCATCTGAGTCCCACTGGGAGCAGAAGAAAAGCTGTTAAAAGGCATAGGGGTTGTGTACAATAAGGACAGATGGACTGGGAGCTGGGGATGGCCCTGGGCTCTTTAAGAAGGCTGGAGAGGGAAACCCAAGGGATGGGTAGGTTAAGACCAGGTTAACGAGAAAGGGCTCATCGCAAACACATCCTTGGCGCTGGATCCAGGCTCTGTTCCCAGAAGGCCGTTTCTCCATTTTTGCCCTTCAGAACAAAAGCTAAAGGCCCACGGCTGGGCTAAGCCTTCCTGCTAGGGTAGGTTGACTCAAAGGAAGTGGGTTGTCCTGAGGGATGGACATCTGGGTTAGCTCACAGGAGTAGGAGTTAGAGACAGCATTGCTTGTGACCACAGCCTCCTGACATAACCCAGAATCAAACCTGGCTGCTCGTGTTAAGGGACTCTCTTCCTGGCTCGTGGACAGAGGCAGCTGCTCCTGTGACCCTGGGGCCAGGTGGCCCTGTGGATGGGGCGGGGAGAGGGTGGAGCAGGCAGCCACAGGAGGGAAGCACCTGTCTTGCCCAGGGGATCAGGGAGGGTCCATGGTACCCAATTTCTTTCTGGTACCCATTGCCTGCCTGAGCCTGGCTCATACCAGTCGGAGGGGCTGGAAGGAACCTTGCACACCGCTCCAGAGCGGTTCTGTGTTTCACTCCTCACTCTAGCTTCTGCATTTTGGTTCATTTCAAGACAAAGTCCTGGAGTGGTGGGAGGGGGGGGAGGTGGTCAAAACAATGTATACATACGTAAGTAAATCTAGAAATGATAAAATAAAATTCTAAAAATGTCCTCTGTCTAAAAGCATGAGAACTACTTATCTCTAGAAGACAAATGAGTCTTCCCAGACTGGTTAACTCTTCATTCTTCTGTGTGACCCTCACACACACAAAAATAATACTAACGAAGCATGGGATGTAGCAGCAAGGGCATTGCCCAGGTCTCACATGGTGTCCACCCGGTGCCCATCAGGGAGAGAGCACCAGGGCAAGGCATTTGCTTTCCTTACTGAGTGTGTACTGAGCACCCAGGTGCTTAGTGTGGCAGGTGCACATTAATCTCCCAGGCTTTCCACGAGGTTGTGGCTCCTAGTGAGTTCACACCCACTTAACCAGGTACTGGGCTAGAAATGCAAAGGTGAGTTACACATGGTCCCAACACCAAGAAGTCCACCTGCCTGATGGGGTGGCAGGCATGTCCCCTGTCGTCTGGTGATTTGGTTGGATTGGAAGAGACCTCAGCGAAGAGGTGACAGATGTGTTAGACTTGGAGAAGGTGGGGAACTTCCAAAGATGGCTATGGAGAGGCCACAGGTGAGCCCAACATTTAAACACTAACCAGCAGCTGATACGGGAGATGAGACACTAGAGGAGGCCAACGAGTTAGGCACCTGTGCTCCAGTGTCAGTAGCCAAGATGGAGCAAAGAAGGCCTGGACAGAACAGGGTGTGGAGGACGCTGTGGAGGGGACTATCAGGACAGCAGTGCAGGTGGAGTCCACAGGACACTGGTGAGAGCACAGGGAGTGACAGGGTCAAGGGAGAAGGCCAGAGTCTGGATTGAACTGGATTGGATGACGACCGTGTCATCAAAACAAGGAAAATGGCGAGTGGCTGGTCTGAGGGATTTTTAAAAAATGAGAACTCAGTTCCAGGTGGAGATCTCAAAGTAGCAGTTGGGTAGAGATGTCTGGGCTTAGGAACAAGATCTGGGAAGACAGACTCTGAAGCCACCGGCACTTGGATCATCCTGGAGGTGTGGGCAGGACTGAGATCATCAAGGGGAGTGGAGAGATAGGGCAGAGGGCCAGTGCCTTCTCATTTGTAAGGGGGCAGCCCTGTCCACCTCAGCCTGACCTACATCCATGACAGCCCTGGCTGTCAGGAGCTTCGTCAGGCAAGAAGGTTTCCTAACCCAGCACCTGTGGCCTGAGGGCAGACTGTCATGCACCTTGAGATTTCCCAGGCCGGGAGTGATGAAGGGCTGGGTATGAGTAGCCGGGGGGCCTGCCGTGTCTGCCCAGAAGCAGAGCGTGGACTCACTTGTCAGGGATGGCCGACACATAGTTGAAGAGCTGCCATGGGATGCCCTGTAGAACGGCGCTCCTGAAGCCTGCGTGGTTCACCACATGCCCTCGGCTCCCGTCAATCACCACCACCTGGATGCCATCTTCTGAGCCAGGGTACTTCACCCCATCCACCTGCAGAGCCAAAGCAGCACAGGGGTGAGGGGCTCACTTGAGGGCAGCTGAGGCCCCCAGATTCTCCTACTGGGAGGGTCCCAAGTGGACCTTGAAGACAGGTCACTGATACAGCTTAACTCAGTTCCCCAAAACCCTCTGTAGTGGGTTGAACAGTGTGCCCCTCCCCTCCAAAGAAAGATACGTCCACCTGGGGCCTGTAGGGGGACCTTATTTAGAAATAGTGTCTCTGCACTCAGGAGGCAGACACAGGAGGATTGAAGTTTGAGGTCAGCCCAGGCAGAAAGTAAGACCTCATCTCAACAAACAAGACAGCCATGGTAGTCATGTCTGTAACACCAGCTACTAGGGAGGCAGAGGTAAGATGACTGACTGAGGTCTGAGGCCAGCCCTGGGCAAAAAGTGTGGAACACTAGCTGAACAATAACAAAAGAAAAAAAATGAGCAAGCACTAGGCCTGAGTTCAAATACCAAAGCAGACAAACGACAACAACAACAAATAAGCTGAGTGTGGTGGTGCACAGCTATGATCTCAGCTACTTGGAAGGCTGAGGTTGGAGGGTCTTGGTTCAGGACAGCTGGACACCCTGTGTAAAATCAAACTAAGCAAAAGTGACTGAAGTGGCGTGACTCAAGTGGTAGAGAGCTTGTCTAGGGCAAGAGAGAGGCCCAGACTTTAAACCCTGGTACCACCACCACCACCAAAATAATGATCATCATCATCATCATCATCATCATCCAGGCACAGTAGCTCACACACCAGCTACTCCAGAGGCAAAGCTGGGAGAATCACTGTCTGAGCCCAGCCTGGGAAACAGTGCGATACCCCATCTGAAAAACACAGGGAGCAAAAGGGCTGGGGATGTGGTTCAGGTGGTAGAGCACTTGCCTAAAAAGCACAGGGTCCTAGGATCAAACCCCAGCACCAAAAGAAAAAGTGTCTGCAGACATATTAATTACATACATACATACGTACATACATGACTTATGGTAAAGATCTCAGGACGAAGTCCCTTTAGGGTCCACTGGATTTATCTAATGATAGAGACCTTCTAAAGGAGACAGGCGATATGAAACAGACACACAGGACAGAAGTCCTCGTGAAGACGGAGGCAGAGGCTCAAGTGACATGTCTGTAGGCCCGGGAATACCAGGGATTGCAGAAGAGGCAAGGAGGGGCTCCCTGGCAGCCCCCAGAAGCAACCAGGCCCTTTTTACACCTTGACGTTTGACTTCTGGCCTCCAGAACTCTGAGGGAGTAACTTTCTTTTGTTGTAAGCACCACAGGAAATAACTCACTTGTGACGAGTTATTAGGACAGCCCTGGGACACCTCCCAGCCCCTCAAGGGAGCAGCCCCAGGCCTGCAGGGCCAGCAGCTCTTACTTCGATGTAAGCAAAGTCATTCCGAAGATGGAAGAAGTGCTGCCTGGAACTCTCCATCTTCACTTCCAAGAAGTGGTCTTTTGCCTTCTGCAAAACACAGGCAGCGTGGTGGTGAGGTCTTGGGGGTCCCTCCCCTCACCTGGGTGGAGTCCAGCCCCAGGGACCGCTCACCCAGCTGAGCAGGGGTGGAGAGGGGAGCCTTCTGGGAAGCAAAGGGCCGGAGCTGCTGTCGCCACTCACCAGCTGAGCCCCGAAGAGCTTCCTAGGCATCGGCACGTCCACCACGGCCCTCTCAGCAAACCTGGGGTAGGCGGTGGCTGTGCAGTCGCTGACGCCGGTGTTCCTCGGGATGAGAGCTTTAATCTTTATTCTTTCACAGCCTTTCACGGAGCAGAAGGCAAACTTCTCCCTCTCGTTCTGGGCCCTGAGCTTAAGGAAGAGCAGCCTGTGCACAGGAGGAATCAGGTTTCACTTGGGCTCATGGAACCTCCTCCCCACCCAGGATGACCACAGGCCCGTCAGTCACTGGGGTCGGAGCAGCGTGGCCTTGCAACGTGGGCTCACATGGAGTTGGAGCAATGAAAAGCAAATACACTAAGAAAGGGCTAAGAACTGTCAGTTCTCGCCTGAGTCTGAGGACAGACGACGTCCACACTGTGCACACACCATAAACACATGAATTGTCTTAACTAACCCCCGCCATGTCCAAAAGATACTGGCGTTGCCCCGATTTGCCACATGGGGAGACTGCCCAGAAAAGTAAAGTGACCAGCCTGGGACACAGAGCTGGGGAGTGACACAGCTGGGATTTTCAACCCCACCCTCGTGCCAGGAAATGCTATTGGTCTTCCTAACTCTACTTGTCTCCAAAGCAGAGTTTATTCCAAAAAGTATTGTAGAATTTATTTGAAATGATAATTATCATGCAGGAAGCTGGCCTGGTGCCACAGGGAGTCAGATTTTGAGGAAACCACAGCACTGACTTAGTATTCGTTATCGTTATTTTAGCTCAGAGAAATGTCTCAGGCCGAGTCTTACATCCATAGCATCAGAAGACATGGGAGGACCGTCCAGCGCACACGCTTCTCTGGAGTGGAGCCCGCTGGGCTCTGGGAGCTGGACTGTGCTGAGTTGCCAAGGCCCCAACCTCAGCACCCAGCCGATCAGACCAGGGCCATGCATTGCACTCTGTTCAACGTTCAAGAGGGCTGCTCATTGGCTACCCAATAGCCAAGAAGGTTCTCCCTCTCAGGAATTAGAACAAAGAGACCAAGTGGGTCTCCCCAATTTCTGGTTGGTGCTTGAATTGTAAGGCCACACGAATTGTGGCTGCTGCAACCATTCTGTGACATGTGCCTCCTGAGGGACTGCAGAGGATGCAGCTGAAGCTGACACTTGAGACCACTCAGGTGCACGCATGTGTGAGAATGTGAGGAGAAAGAGTTTGGGTTCCTCTTGGTAGGAAATCATTTGACTTTAGGTCATTGAGTGGCTTTATGATGCAAGCCGTCAACATCAAGAAACTATGTTTCAGGCATACAAAGAACACGAGTGTGGAATAGTCCGTGTTAGGATTTCAGGGCCTGGAACAGTACCCTGCGTTACTTGACGTCAACTACCTGATTGTTCTTAGGATTCTGGGAAAAGCCAGGAAAGGAAATGAGGCTGAGGCACTTTCCTGCAGCCAGTGGGAGCCTGCTTGTTCTGAGACCTCATCCAATGGGAACCTGCTTACCCTGAGTTCTCCTCCACTGGGAACCTGCTTACCCTGAGTTCTCATCCATGGGAAGCCTGCTTGCTCTGAGTTCTCATCCAATGGGAACCCGCTTACCCTGAGTTCTCATCCAGTGGGAGCCTGCTTGCTCTGAGTTCTCATCCAATGAGAGCCTGCTTACCCTGAGTTCTCATCCAATGGGAGCCTGCTTGCTCTGAGTTCTCATCCAATGGGAGCCTGCTTACCCTGACTCTTCATCCCAGTAGTAGTGGCTCCTGCCAGGATAGCTCTGCTCCACCTTGTCCATCTGGAAGGTCCTCACAAAGGTGCCGGTCTTAGATGTTTGCTTCAGTAGGCGATTGTGAACATCCGAGAGGATGGAAAAGGTGGTGCCCCGTGGGTAGCAGAGCCCCACTCGAATCCAGTCACCCCTAGGACCAGAAATAGAGTCAGTTCCAAGCAAGGATGTCCAGGCCCCAAGTCCTGGGGTCCACCCCAGAGACAGAATCCAAAGAATAGTGAACGGTGATTTTGAAAGAACAGTTGCTGTGGGCATGACTCAGCAGCACAGTGTCCAGGGGAGAGGAAGAGAGGGTGACTGACTGCCAAAAGCCAGGAGGACATGGGAGTGGGTCAGCTGATGCCCTGGAAGGGTCCGTGGGAGGGGGGAGCTCTGGCTGGGAAAAGGCATATTTTCAACTGGGCTGTGGTTAGGGAACACAGGAGGTAAAGAACCTGGACTCAGAACCATCCCACGGCCCATTTTTTTCTCTCTGGGTCTCATTTTTCACAGTGATAAATCTCTGCCTCACAGGAGGATGGGGACAATGTAAAAAATACTGGCACCCAGTACATGAAGCCCACAGAGATGTCCTCAGCCCAGTCACTTCCCCTCACAGAGCCCCGAATTCCTCTTGGCACAGTGTTCATCATCTACTAAGTAATGGGAAGTGCCAGGTGCTGGGTGACATGCCTGTCACCTACTCCTCTGCTCTCCTGTGAGGTAACATTAGCCCCACTCATAGGTGAAGGAACTAAGGCTCTGAGAGCTTAGCTGTCCTGCTTAAGGTCACCCACACCCAGAGGGGGCCTCAGCCCTGGACTTGTATTTTTGGGGGGAGAGGGGTTACTGCCATTTGAACCCAGGCCTTCACACTTGCAAGTCAGGTGCTCTACTCATTGAGCCACACCCCCTGCCCATCCTCCCTGCATTCTTGACTGCAGATCTTGTGACCCTTTCTGGGTCTGAATCATGTGACCCTCCCTGGGTACCTCCCACAGGGATCCCTTAGGCCAGCCTGAGGTTCTGTGAGCAGCAAGCAGGCGCCCTCATCGCCACTGCCTGAGCTCAAGGGCCGCTGTCCTAAGGTTACGCTGCTCCTGCCGGGAAGGCACTCACTTGTTGAAGTTGACGAGCCAGATGGCGAGTTCAGCGGGGGCCGTCTGGTCCCAGTGGATGGTGTAGCCCTTCTGCAGGGTGATGACCGGCTGGTACTGCTGGTAATGGGTGCTCCTGGTGAGGGCCCCCTCCAGGTAGAGGGGTGCTGGGGAAGTCATTCTTGATGATCTTCATTTGCAGGTTGCTGGTCTTGTAGGCCTGGATGTACATCTTTTAAACCCAAAAAGGAAGCGCAGAGGAGCTATTACAAGGGATGATTATACCAAGAGCGTCTGGTTAACATCTGACCACGACAGTGCTTTCTCTTCACAGAGCCCTTTTTAGAAGGCCTGTGAGAAAGAAAGACCAAATAAGGGGACATCTCTCTCTCCTGGTGGACACAGCCCAAGTCGAACTGTGCAACACAGCCAGTGCTTTCTGGTACCTTCAGAAATCGGCTCTGTAAAGGTTAGATCAAAAAGAATTAACCTAGAAGGTAACACCCACGCACAGGAAATCAATGTGAGTCAATGCCCTGTATAGCTATCCTTATCTCAACCAGCAAAAACCCTTGTTCCTTCCTATTATTGCTTCTACTCTCTCTTCAACAAAATTAGAAATAAGGGCAAAATAGTTTCTGCTGGGTATTGAGGGGGTGGGGGGGAGAGGGAGGGGGTGGAGTGGGTGGTAAGGGAGGGGGTGGGGGCAGGGGGGAGAAATGAACCAAGCCTTGTATGCACATATGAATAATAAAAGAAAAATGAAAAAAAAAAAAAGAAATCGGCTCTGTAGAGGAGCTACCCACACAAACTTGGAGGACTTTGGTAACAATCAGGTGGCAATTTCAGAACATGGAGAAAGGGGGAGAGGACTCCAACTCCACAGCAAATGCAACTCGCCTTTAACTGACAGGTGTTCTGCCTGTCTTGAGAGGGCGCCTGGGTGTGGTGTCCCGCTCCACCCTCTGAGCTTCTGTGTATGGCCCCATGGGAATCTATGTGGGTGATCTCTGTGTCTGATCCCATGGCCAGTCTGTGTGGATGTGAGTATACACTGGATGAAACTTAAAGCAAGACCATCGGTTGTTGAGTCCCAGGGACCAAAGAGCCAGCCTCAGTTGAAACACTGTCTTGTTTTATGGTGTGTTTGTATTTGTACGTGACAGCTCTACAGCTGAGGCTAAGAGAGGCCATCACACCAACGTGCAGAGGTGTGCCTGTGGCAGGAAGGGTTACTGTCCCCTCCAGATTTATTACAAATAAGGTGGAAAGAGAAACTCCAACCCAACCTTATGGCATTGCTGTTATTGTGCAAAGGTAAAAGGTGGTGTGACGGTGGTTCAGTAGCGAGCATAGCTGCCTTCCAAAGGTAAAAGGTGGTCAGAGCATTTTGTAAGCTATAAAGCAAGGGGCGGAGATTATTAGTAGTAATTATCCACTGGCTATCTGTGATGTTTGGCAGGCAATGTGTCAGAGAGGGCGGGAAGGAAGGTCAAAGTCAAGGCTGCACCTAGGACAGCCTTGCACTGTTTTCCGGACAGTGATGCATGTGGTGCTGAGGGTGTTGTGTGTGGCTGGAGGGTTTGGTTGCCCTTCGGTTACTCAGGCCTGACTCCCACCTATCCGCTCCCTTTGCCTGCACTTCCTTCTTATCCCCTCAGACCATCACGTCAGCAGCTCGCTCCCATCAGCATCTTGGCCCTCACCGTCCCTAATCATTCCCAGGACCACATCCTTTCCCGAGGCTCTTGAGAGAGGCTGAGGAAACCATCAGCCTGGGGAGAGAAGTGCTGCTCCAACCTCCTCTGGGTTTTTGACTCCGCCAGGCGCTCCTCCTGCCGGCTCTGGTCAATGTCTCCACCCTCAATGGCTTTATCACTCTCTGCAGGCCACCCTCCTCAGGTCCACTCCCTGACTTTTCAGCATATGACCTCACCTTCTACTGCAGAAAGAAACGCCCTTAACTTCCTGCCCCTGCCCTTGCTGTCCTCTGGTCCCTCCTCCTGCCAAGGACGGCCCCTCCCACCTGTCCTCTGCTACTCCAGGCCTTTTCCTCTCAGCCTGGCACTAGCTCCCACTCCCTTCTGTCTTCTGTCCCCATTCTACAACACCCCCAACTGCTGATGCCCACATTGGTGATGCTGGCCTTGTAGGATAGTCATGAGGACAACTCTTGATTCATACCTGCTTCCTTCCCCCTGGGGCCACCTGGTTCACCATGTCTACCTCCTAATCTGAGGATTGTTCATTTACTTGGGCCACTCTCCCCTTGCTCTTTTATCTATTCAAACAACAGCAGTAATGATAATATAGTAATGGCTGAATGATTCTTTCTGTTCTGCCCCTCGCCAGTCCCTGGCCTGGCCAGCACTGGCCACTGTGGCCACTGAGTACAGGAAGTGAGGCCAGGGTGGCCCAGGACCCACAGTTCTAGTTTTATTTTAATTAGTCTAAATTTCACAAGAATCATTATGAAAATATTTTTCCTATTAAACACAACTTGATTTTAGGGGGAGGACTACATTTCACTTTGTTGCAAGTTTGCACCCAAAAATGAGTGTACTGTCAATGTAAAATGGATGGTGGATTTTGAAGTTTTAGGATGAAAGAATGTAAAGTGTCTCATGAATCATTTTTATGTTGCTTATTTAGTGAGAGAAAATACTAATTTCTGTTTCTTTTTACATTTTACCATGGCTACAGGAAAATTTAGGATCATATGTGTGGCTTATGTTATATTTCTGCCACATAGGGTTGAGGAAGCAGGAGGGTTCAACTATTGTCCCAAGTTTACACTGAGACTGCTGAGGCTCCGGGTTCCGGCAGTCAGTCAGTGCCGGAACTTGACTTGAACCCAAGCATCTGACCCTAAATCTAAGCATTCTGATACTAAGTAAAGGGTGTTTTGTTGTTGTTGATATTGGGGTTTGAACTCAGGGCCTTATGCTTGCTAGGCAGGTGCTCTACCCCTTGAGCCACAACCCCAGTTCTTTTTGCTTTAGTTATTTTTCAGATAGGGTCTTGCATTTTTTGCCCTGGCTGGGCTGGGACCTCGGTCTTCTTACCTACATCTCTGAGTAGCTGGGACGACAAGTGTGAACCACCACACTTGGCTTGTTCTTTGATATTAGAGTCTTGCTAACATTTTACCTGGCTGCCCTCAAACAGCAATCTTTCTATCTCTGCCTTCCAAGTAGCTGGGATTACAAGAGTTCTGACTTTGTGAAAGTCCTATCAGGGGAGGGGAAGAATAAAATGAAAGGAAAAGAAGAAGGAATTCTGTATCTCTTTCTGGTTCAACATGGAGCTGGACATCCAGTAGCCACTCACTGAATGCTTGTCATATGAATGACTGGCTGGGGTGGGGGGCTGTCCCCACCTGTGCATAGCGCCCGCTGCAGATGGCGCCTCTCCAGTCGGGGACGTTGATGCAGTCTGGATGTCGGACCAGCCAGTTGTCGTCTTTGGTGAGGTAGGAGCCTGGGTACTCAGACACAGAGCCATCAACATCGTGGAACACGGACGTCTTATCTCCATCCATATTCAGCTGGTTGAACCAGGGCCCAGGCTCTCCAAAGAACACTCTGGAAGTAATCTAAACAGAGCCCAGGAAAGTTAGGCCTGGCTGGAAGGTGAAGGGGAACATTCTCAGTCACCACCAGGGCAAATTTCCTGACTTCCGCTGACATCACAGAGCTCAACCAGAGCCACTCCTGGGCACTGTAGGAACAGCCAAGGGCTCCCAGCCTCACAGCCCTGCTCAGCACAGCCCACGCTGGGCTTTGTGCACTGGGGTGGCTGCGGGGTGACCTCGGAGTTGGTCAGACACAGAGGTTTAAGAGACTGCAAAGACAGGAGGAGTCAGCTTAGGGGGAAGAGGGAAAGAAAGAGAGTATGTGTGTGTGTTTATGATGGAAAGAGAGAGTGCATGTGTGTGTGAATGAGACAGGAGTGGTGCTGAGTGTACATGGAAGTGTACAGCACACACAGGGTTTCACATGTACGAGAGTAGGTGTGAGTGTGCAGTGGATCTCAGGAAGACATTTGAAGATTTCCATGACTGAACTCTTTCAGGTCCTCAGCGGTCCGAATGAATAAATTAAATAACTTAAATTTCACATCTTGTCCCTCAACTGGTCCATGACTGGGCACACAGGCAAATGTCAGGAGAGGGGGGAGAAGGAGGGGAGCCCATAACCTAGAGAGAATGCACCAGGAGGCCTGGATCTGCTGGGCTCACAGGCAGCCCTTGTCTAGTCCCCTCACCCTCAACTCCTGTTTTGCCAGCTCTGTCTGCAGCCAGGAGGCCTCTGTTTACATTCTACTCTCACGGGGAGATTACACAGAACATCTTTGGCAAAGACTTCCCTTGGAAACTTCTGGGGATGTTAGATTATTTATGCCAACTCGGGTGACCCGGTCACAACACCCAGTAGTCAAAGTTTGGAGGAAGACTCTCAGAACCCTAGGTCCAGAGTGAGGCTCCCTCTGGGGTAAGATGAGTGGGCATTCACCCAGATTTGACCTGTGGGGCAACCTAGGCCTGTACTTTTCCAGTTTGGGTGCAGCACAAACTGGGACATGGTCCAGTCTACTTGGAGGAGGCGATTCCACTCTGCGGTGGTGGCAACAGCTCCAACTCCAAGCCCTGGGGGACTTGTGAATCACCATCCAAAGTCTGGCTTTGCTGGGAGACTGCCCAGGAGCCACACTCACCGGGACATCCTCAAAGGCAATGTTGGTCACATTGTTGTGTGGGCAGCTCTGCCAGGCGTTGTTCAGACGGAAGGCCAGGGCACTGGTGTGCCGACCCTCTAGGGCTGCGAACTTTCGGAAGGTGCAATTCTGGATGTTGATGGGGCCATCATAGAACTGAATTCCTCTAATGGGAAAATTCCTGAGGAGTTAAGGAAGTCAGATATCAGATGACTGCCATGTTGTTTTAAGAGAGACTTTCTGAGTAAAGCCGTTCCTGACCCCCACCTCCAGCAGCTCATCCTACTGCATATCATTATTGACTCATTGATAAATTCACTGAGAAGACAAGTATGGAAAGAGTGCCAATGAAAGATTGCTGGCTGGCTGGATGGACAGATGCAGGATATATGTCTGTATAGATGGCTGGATGGCTGGATGGTTGGGTGAATGGATGATGGACGAATAAATGAATAATTTAGTTTCCGACTTGGGGTTTCTGGAAGGTTCTCTATTCAGACATTTCCCCCAATTTTTCCATCCTGTGAAGAGTCATTGGGTAAATACTGTAAGTTCTGGGGAGTGCCAATGTTCTGTCCCTTGGGAGGGTAGCACTGTTAGTCATTGTCATCTTAGTTTTTGTTGCTATAACAATTTAATCAGATTGGGACCCAGATGAGTTTCTTCTGTGAGCAAGCTTTTTGATTGGCAATGTGCTGGTTTTAAGCAGAAGGGGAAAAAAAAACTAAATGAAAGGTGATAAAAATAATTACAGCACAACTTTCTGAGCTAGAAGAGAAGGTGGCCCCTCCTAGGAAAGCAAGACTGCAGAATGACAGGCAGCCCCAAACAGGCCTGACATCCAGAAGGAGGAGGAAGGGGGTGGGAAGAGGAACCAACTGGGAGACAGGGAAGAACAGGTGAAGAGGAAACCAGGGGAGCAATGGGCTGGACTTCCTGGTGGCCTTTCTTGGGACTTGCTTATTCTCCACATCCAGTATGTGTGCTTATGCTGGTGTCTGCACCTCTGAGTCAGGCCCTTCCCTTTCACAGAGGACATAAAGAAGAAAAGGTGGAAAGAAAGAAAAGAATGCAGAAGGGGAGACCGGTCCTTAGAGAGAGGCCAGGCCTCAGTTGTCCCCAGTCTTCCACTCAGGCTCCTGGAGGAAGTCCCCACTCATACCGGGCTGGAATCGTGCCTTTGGTGGACACTGAGTCCCCTTGCAATGAAAAACATTTCCTGGTGGCACTGGGGTTTGAACTCAGGGCCTCACGCTTGCTGGGCAGGCGCTCTACCACTTGAGCCACTCTGCCAGCTCCCATTTCTGCCTCTTTTTTTGTTTGTCACGGATTAATGTTGTCACCTGAGTCCTGATTCTCATGGAGCGACTCCTTGCGTTTTTTTCAACGCTGACTGTACATGTGCGGAGTATGCTAACAGCACCGAGCTGTTAGGTTTCCATAAACAAGATCACCTCCAGAAGGGACTGGAACATTCTGAGCCTGGGAGGCCAAAAATCCCTGAATACACAAACCCAGAGTCACCTGGGAAAATGATAGAAGGGTCTGCTATATCCCATAAGAAAGATGATGCATGGACCTCCCCACAGCTAGTACCAAAGGAGACCAGGACCCTGACTTTGCAATATCTTTTTGGAGACACACATGGACCCAGGTTGGACGTTTTAGGTCTATGTGCATTTTTTACTGACTCTAGCAGCAGGAATTCTTCCTTGGAGAAAGACTGGAACCCTGGCACCGCTGTGGAGCTCAGCGCCTGGCTCTTGGGCTCAGACCCCGACCTGGGCAGGAGGGGGCTTCCTCAGAGACTGATGGGTCCACTGCATCGCAGGTCATCGGCTCTGCACATTACCGACCCCTCTCCATCCATCTGCTCATCATCAACCTGCCTGTGAGTCCTCAGCACAGCCATGATGTTTCTGGGCAGTATGACTTCTCAAAGTCTTGCCTGCACTCAACCAATTCCTGCCCTCAGGACCTGTGTAGAGCCTTGTCTGTCACTTATGTGTATGACAGCCCCGTGTCCTCCCAAGAATGCCCCATGTCCTGGTTGAAGATCCCAATCTACTTGAGACAGGGCTTCAGAGTTTGACACCCTGGTCCCTCCTCTATAAGCATTCTGGGGCCTGGCTCTCTCTCTGCCATACTCAGAAGTGGACCAAACACTCCAAGCCATCGAGGAGCCTGGGTCTCCTGGTCCCTCATCCTGAACACTGTAGTCCCACTAACATCTCAGATTCAGAGACGCTAAAAGTGCAAAAGAAAGTACATGTCTTAGAACTGATGAAACACACTAGCTACCTGTAGGGTTCTAGAACAATTAAACAGGGTTGTGCCTGTGAGGGATGCAGACAACCAGACTGGACGCATAGTAAGTGCTCAGTGTCACCATCGCCATCCCTATTACAGTCTCTTCTTTGGATGCACTGCGAACACACATAGCTCTAAAGGGTCCGACTTCAGATTCTGAGCAGAATCTGAGCAACATGCAGTGCTGATGAACCTGGCGTAAAGCCTGTCCCGTTTCCCTTTATGACTTCCTTGCTGTCTGAAACTCCTGGGCATTCTGCTGGCCATGCCACCCTCTTGCCTCTCATTCAACGCTATTTTTTACTTCTCTCTCCCTATATTTGGTTTCTTCCTTCAACTGTTAGTGTCAGTCGTTTTAGAGACTTCTCTAGCTGGGAGAGGACAGAGGATTCATAGTCAACAGAGAGAAGTCACCCACTAGCCCCCTTCCACCCACTGCATCATTTGGGTTAAGCCACGAGAATCAAGGTAGCTCTGCAGTTGCAAACCTACTGGCCTATAGGGAGGGTTCTTCCACTGTGGTCCAAGCCACCTGGGCCCCAGATCCTGTTGTCCATCATTTCTGTCCCCACGTTGCCACTCTCACCAACAAACAGGCTGTTCTTTATCTCCTGCTTGGAGCCATCGTCATAGGGGAAGGTCCCACCACTGCAGAGAGAAGGTGCTGGAGATGAGCTGCCCAGATACAAGCTCCCACAGAAGACCAAGTACAATGACACTTGCTCTTACCTGGCCAGGGTCAGACCAATGCCATTGTCAGCAAACCTGGGGACAAGAGAAGACAGGGCTCTCACTATGAGTTCAGTGAAGTCAGGGACAAAAGGGTGCTTCTCTGCTCCTGAAGCCAAAGTGCGGACATTGTGGGATGGAAGGAGTCTTTATAGAAGTGAAGAGGGAATTGTGACTTTCCATTCTGGGTCCCCTTCCCCTCAGTCTGTGACCCCTGAAGCTCTCACATTTGAGGGCACCTCGAATTAGCCACATACAGGCTAGGCTCCATATGCTCCATCTTCAGCCCACCACTGTCTGCAATTCCAGGGCAATGGGATTGGGTCAGGGAAAAGGGGTGGCCTTCCCACTCTCAGAGCCAGCTCTGGGGGAAGGTGTGGATGCTGTTCCTATCACTATTTCAACCACAGCATAAAACACAAGTACCTAATCTCCACATTTCCTGGAAGTCAGGCAGAGGTGGGGCCTGAGAATACCAAGAGAAACTGCAATTGTGCTGTGGTCATCTTAACTTGACTCTGCCCTTTTTAAGTGTCAGGAGGGAGGCTGGTTCTGACGGATACAGGGTGGTGCAGAATCGGAGCTGGGCCATGGGTCTGGGCTGCTTTCATTTCCTTGTCCTAGCCCAGATATGACTGTTCTCCCTGCCTTTGTCCCCTCCACCTGTCCTGGGCACCCTGCCAGGCTCAGCTCCCCATGGTGCAGTTCTTACCCATCATTCATTGCTTCCCAAACCTCCAGGGGTTTCACATCAGCTATAAACTTGAGCCCAACTCTCATCCTGGAGTTGAAGGCCCCTGTGAGTCTGTGTTTCCCTCCTCTTTGGCCGCACTAGGCTGCTCCTTGTGCCCAAATGCTTTCTAGGTCTCAGCACACACCTTCACGCTCTGCTTTTTCTCCCTTAGGACACACATGTGCTTTCCCCTTTCTAGAGATCTATCCACTCCAAACCAATCACTGGAGGCTCAACTTCCAGGGCACAGCATTCTGCAGTTCTTTTCCACCCTCCCCATGGCCTTTCCTCATCATTGCTGTCCTGAGTTCCCATATACCTCCACTGTGTCTCTGGGGACCTCACAAAGACTTCAAGATTCCTACCAATCTGCTGGGAGCTCTTGAGTCAGTTAGTCACTTGTCCTGACTGTGCTTTCAAAACTTAGGGCATTTCCAGTGACTGCTTCACAGACATCTCCAGTGCACCATGTCTAAAGCATCCTGCCATCTTACTGGAGCTGCTCATGGCTCTGAAGTGAGCCAGGCTCTTTTCACTTCTGATTCCCTCTCATATGGACCACTGCAGTAGTATCTCAGCTGGTTTCCCGTCTCCAGGAGGGCCCTTCAAACTCCCCGGAGCCCCATCTTCTGTCAGTTCCTGTCCATTTGTGGGACTCCAGCCTTGGTGCCAGCCAGATTCTGGGCCTCCTTGGATTGAATCGGGTGGAGGCTTAAAAGATGTACCCCCATTGGCAGGATGGGGGTTTCACAATTTTTCTTACTACTCCAAGTCTGGCATTTACTATCACTGTAGGTACCTAAATGCCAAAATGCCCAAGGAACAAGGATCAAGAAATTCACCAGACACAGAATTTTAGCATCAGTGCCATCTGGCTCCTTTTCCACCAGGGCCTCTACCTTCTTCCTGCACTGTGTCTCTGGGCCTCTGCTCTAGGGACAAGCAGATTATATCATTGCAGGAAATCTCTTCCTTCTACTGAGCTGAAATCTGCCTCTCACAGCTGGGTGCAGTAGTTTGTGCCGTAGTTCCTGTACTTGGGAGACTGAGGCCTGAGGGTCACTTGAGCCCAGGAGTTTGAGGCCAGCCTGGGCAACAGTGAGACCCTGTCTTAAAAAAAAAAAATTCCCCAAGGCCAGAACTTCTGCCCTCGAAAGCCAAACAGAATGAGCCTGCCCTGCTTCCTCTAAACACCCTTCAGAAATCCAGAATTGACCCTTTCTTTCCTTTCCCCTTTTCTCAAAACTAATGACGTTTTCCTGTGCAGAATGAAGGCCCCCTTTCTCTCAGCTAGCACTGTTTCTTTTGCACCTTCTAGGCCATGCTTGGCTCCACCCCAAGCCAGCCAGCCCCTCTCTCGCCCCTTCCCCCTCACTGTCTCTCTCTCCTTGTGTTTCTCTTCTCCTTCACTTCTCCTTTAATTGGTCACAGTTAAATGGAGAAATAAGTTTATATCCTTCACAAAGAGCAGACAAAGCACATTTCATGATACTCCCTTAAAACGAACACCAGTCTGGCTTCCTGTCCCTTCTGGTCCTTGACCAGTGTGGGCTGGGGGCTCTGCATGGAGACCTTGTTTATATCAGAACTCAATGTCCTGGCCTTTTACACTGGGCTTGGTGTCCAATGACCTTGAGCATCAAATTCCAGTATTGTGTGACCTTGGGAAAATTCACTAAACCAAGCTTCAGTTTAGCATCTGGAGAGTCGAGATAGTAGTTCAGAGGTTTGAGGAACACAGTGAGAACAAAACGCATCCCAGTCTTTGGCACACAGTAGGTGCCCAGAATCTCTGACTTCCTTTTCTCCTTCCCTTAGCTGACGGCTGTGTGACTTGGGAGAGTAAAAGTCGGTGACTATTCAGAGATAACTGTGACCCACAGCAGTTGGCACTAGGGGCTGAAGCCCCTGTCTGGCTGGGAGACCAAGAGGCCAAGGGTCAGTAACTTGTTTCCTCTCTGTTTTGGTCACTCTTCTACCTGGTGAGAGAGTCATGCTCCCTTTACCACACGCTACTCCCGACTCACCGACAGCTGTCCAGCCACACATCCCCACCGCGCAGCCAGGCCCCGTGGTCCTGGTTCTTATAGGCAATGAAATGCTTGATGATGGCTGGCTCCCGGGGCTTCAGAGGGTCAGCATCCTGATGAGGACTATACCTGGAATAGCACAGGGAGGGCACAGGTGGGCATTAGGGAGCTCCTGCACTGCTCCCTCTGGGCTTGGTGAGCTTTTCTCCCTCACAGTCCCCAGATGGCCCTGACCAAACAGAAGGTGACCAGAATCTCCAGGCTCTGGAATGAACTTTCTGAATTCTTCCCAGAGGCAGGAGGGCACTGCTCCAGGCCAACCCCACGCAGGTGACAAAACACATTACTTCTTGTCCATCCGCACCACTGAAGAACACTTCCCCAAGTGGGGTCAAATCAGAAAGTTCAGGCTGCCCATCCCACCTGGCATGTGACACAGCCCAGGCGGCCTAGAAGGAGCCTGGAGATGCCCACCTCTCCCACTGACCAGTGGACATTCTTCGCTGGGCACCTCTTAGCTACAAAATGAAGTGCAGAGCCTGGGTGCCCACTGGTGTCAGGTCCAGCTAAAGTGTCCTGTGCACATAATCATGGTGCTAGTCTCACCCACTTCTGACCCTGTAAGGGTAAGGGTTTTGATAATGATCTTGAAGCTTGGCCAGTACCTTTTAAAAGGGGCCCCTTTGCCTCCAGCTGAGCTCTGGGTTGATTTATGAATAGCTTGCTTCTGTCAGTAGATGGTAGTGAAATTCTTCTCTTTTCACGTTTTTGTTTGTTTGTTTTGAGACAGGGTCTTGCAAACTATGTAGCCCAGGTTGACATCAAATTTACTCGGTGGCCCAGACTGGCTATGAACTTGTGATCTTCCTGCCTCAGCCTCCCAAATGCTGGGATTACAGGTGTGCACCACCACACCTGGCTTCTTTCCACCTTTTTATCTCAGCCAGACCTGCCTTACCTATGGGCATTCCCGTTGTCTTACAGTATTGGCTTTGCAGAGGGATCTTAAAACCACTAGGACTTTAGTTTCCCTTTGGCTACCAGAGCCTGAACCCTAACTCAGATTTTGCCTTGTTCAGATTTCATTTTCAGGGTACCCCCAGAAAATGACCCAGTGCTCAGCACACAGAAAGTTCTGTACAGGCACTTGGTGAGTGAGTGAACGAGTGAGAGGCAGAGAATGACCCCGGGCTGAGAGGTCACCATGGATGACCAAGGCTTCCCGAGGCTCCCTCACCTGGCTCCCTTACCTGGCAGAGATGATGGACAGGAAAGGCCTCTTATCCTTAGCAGAGGCCTCCGTGGTTTTGACTCCATTGTCTATGATCATGCCAGCCTGGGGACAGGAGAGGTGACATCCAGGGAAATTAGCTGCTACTTCAGGCTGCTGATATCTCCCCACACCCAGCCTTGCCTCACTATGTGCTCTTGAATGTGTTGGTAGACCAGCTTTGTTCTGAGACAAAAGAGGGTCTGTAGTGATGGAGGTGAAGAACCTGCTTTATTGAGCGTGATCACAACAAATCTGGGGTAAAGTAACCTACCTGAGGTGCAGATGAAGAAAGTGAGATCCAGATGGGGTTAATTAAGCTGTCAGAGGCTACAGAGGTAAGTCTGTGCACAGAGCACACACTGCTTTCCATAGTTACCATCCTGGACCCCCAATCAAGGACTATGGGTGTACATTCTGGGGATATCTGTCTGCAGTGATTCAAGGGGTACAATTTTTTTTTTTTTGCTGGTACTAGGGTTCGAACTCAGGGCTTTGCACTTGCAAAGCAGGTACTCTGCTTGTGTGTTCTTGAGCCACAACTTCAGCCCTGCAGTGATTCAATGCAAACACTGAACTTGAGTCTAAACTTCACCTTGGGCAGAAGTTGTCTTGGTTCCTGAGAACCCAGCTTTCTTACTGGTCTCCAGAAGTACCCACTCCATCAGCCCCAGGTGAGCATGGGTAGGAATGGAAGCAGCTGAGTGGTACTGCCTGGGGAGGCCACCATTCATTCTGTCTTTTCCTGATCCCTTGGCCTATCATGAATGTCCAAACTCAGATGTCTTCTCTCGAGATCACTGGAGAACCCTGGCTACTTCACTCTTGACTAAGTAAGATATCTAGAAGACTCCTGGAGCAAGTTCTTCACTGTGGGTGTGGAGTGGAGGCTCAGTGGGTGTGAACAACCAGGACAGGGGGTTCCGACCACCCAGGATGAGTCCTTCTACTGCCTGAAGGCCACCCCACCTGTGTGCGTGAGCCCTTGTCTACATCCTTGTTGGAAACTAGCCTCTCACACATATCTCTCCCCTTTCTAGCCTGACCATACCTTGCAGGTCCTGTGTAGCCTCACCCCTGCTCATGGGCAGGGGTGGTGGCTCCCAACAAGAAGCTCTTGCATTCTCTCTCTGCTCCCCTGCCCAAGAGTGACATGCCCAACACCTGCCTCTGTGTGGGGGACAGCCTCGGACATGCCCTTCCAGAGGCCCTGAATGAATTCCCTTCATCAGGGCAGAACTGTGGACCCCACACCTCTGTTTCTGCCCCATCACTGTCTTCCATCCCAGTTTCTGGGATATGATGCCTTTGGGTTCTCTCCTCCTTTCTCTGCCCCCACTGCTCATCCATCTTCCCTGGTCCCAGGCCCCCAGGTGTAAACACAAGTCTTACTCCAGGACTGGATCTCTTTTTTATTTTATCCCTGGTGGCATCTTTTGAAAGTAATTTTTGGCCCTGGGATGTATCCATGCCCTTCTAGGAGCCTCCATTTCCTCAACCATGCCATTAAAAATCAGAACACCAGTCTATCTACTCATGGTCCCAGCTCCTCAAGACCACCTCTGCCCCAGAGCAGTGTCTCTGGTCTCAGCCTCATCCCAAGCCCCCCCACCCTTGGCCATGCCCTATGGCTCTGATCTCAGCTCTGTCCCCATTGGGAAGTTCTTGATAGACTTGACCTCCTAGTCATTTTGTTTCCTGCCCCTTTCATCCCAGCACACAGCTTGGTGCTAGACACACATTGGGGCTTAGGAAGTGTTGATTCAGAAATGAAGATTAAGGAGGAATGTCTCAGTGCTCACCTGTCCACCTAACTGCATAGACAGAGCCACCCAGGAATCAGAACAAGAAAGGGTAAAGGCCAGGTTCCTTCAGAACCAATCCCGATTGATTTTCCTTCGCTTAACTTTTCATAGCCAATACTGCCAACAACCAAAATAAAACCAGGTGCTCCACCCAGGGGCTTCTGGGGGTAGGGGGTGGGGGTGGGGAGAGATGACCCAGTAAAGATGCATCTTGCTCCTTTGGGCTCCAGCCATATGTTGTTGAAACCAAACCAGGAGACTCAAATGGTCAGTGGCCTGGAGGCCTGGGGAGACTGCTCTTTTCTTCTGGGTCAGCACTAGGATTGCAGTGAGTTCTGGCTGTAATCATCTGCAGGTCTGGGAAGGTGGACGGATGGGTTGGCCGAGGGGCAAGGTCTGGAAAGACTTACCCGATAGTTGGAATGTGCTCGGTTGTTATGGAATTTCCCCAGTGGAATGTGTTCTGAATAACCTGGGGAGTACATCCCCTCGGAGGGGCCCGTCGGTACGTGGTGAAAAATGAACCAAAATCCAGTTTCCTGTTGGGGCAAGGCACAAGGAGAAAGCCACAGAACTCAGCACCAGTGAGCTCCTGGTCGGGGTGACCAAGTGGCCCATGCTAGGGGTAGAAGTGATACTGTCACCTGAATAGGACTTTGCCATCCCCTACCAAATAGATGCAGCTTCTGGGTGTCAGAGCCACTGCAGGGTTAAACTCTTCCTCCTGATGTGCAGTGGGACAGTCTCACATGTGGTCCCAGCTTTCCCTCCCATTCTGCCGATGTGGTAGCTGAGGCCCACAGAGACCAGCCAGGGTCAGGGTCCCACACAAGACCAGCAGCAGGGAAGGCTGGGTCAAAGCCAAGTTGCACACACAGAACAGGGTGCTTGTGTCCTGCCTACCACTTCCCAGCTGCGTGTGCCCAGGGCTGGCTAGCTCTTCCCCAATGCACAGACTGACGCAAGAATCAGAATGTTTTGACTTAAAACATCAACGCACCAGGCACCATTCCAAGATAGCATAATTTCATCCTCTAATGTTATTGTACATAAAGGGCGTAGTGCTAACTAGGTATGGTCACCCGTCTCATGAAGTGACAGAACTGTCATTTAAAACCAAGTCATAGGACTCCCCATCCCAGGCTTATTTCCTTCTTCATTCCAGCAACGCCCATCTACATCGACATCTGGATACACATCTTTTCAGGGCGCCCCAGCTGCCTCCACCTTAGGATTTCTGCTCACCTCGGATCCTGCAGCTGCACAGTTGATGAGGTTGTTATTGGGGTTGGCCATCCAGAAGGTGGACACAGCGCTGTGGGGAGGGGACAGAAATTGAACAGTGTCATACAAAGGCCACCAGTGCCTGTGTTGCTTCCCATGTCAGATACTCTAATGTTGGTCTGAAGAGTCTTGTCAGAGACTTGAGGAACTGTTGACTTGTCCATGTGAGACTCAGTGTTCTCATTAAAAGGTAGTGTGATTAAGCAACGAAATGTTCAGTCCAAGACTAGCTCTGCTAGATTAACACAGGAAAGTAGGAAGGAAGAGCCTGGGCACAGGAAGCTCTGTCTCTGTCTCTCTCATGGGTACAAAAGGACCAGTGTGGTTGGAGCCACTGTGTACACACTGGGAGCAGAAGTGGCAGCTACTTCCTCTCAACAAGGAACACTGTGTGGCATCAAATAAAATGCCAGATGTGGGCACAGCCGTTCTCTGGACACAAAAACACATAGGAGGCAAACGAAGAAGAGAGAAGATGCCTTCCTGCCTCCTCTGTGGGAAGCTGTGAGCCATAGGTGAGTGAAGGCTGCGAGGTCCATACTGCTCAGATGCTCTGGGGTGGGGCATCGGGTGCTGAACTAGGGACACTTACGTCTCCGCCCACCCCCCGACATGTCTGGGGGACTTACTTGCAGTCCTGCCTGGGCTTGGGGATGTACCCTGGGTAGGAGTCCTCTGTGATCGTCTTGCACATTTTACTGTCACGGTCAGAGGGGAGGAGGGTTCCAGACTTAACAAGGAGGCCAAGGCAGTGGTCGAAAGTGTTGCGTTCCTCTGGTCCATCCTCCGTGAAGAAGCAGTGTCCCAAGGAGTTATAGCCCACGACGTCCTTGATCTGCAGAAGTCAAGGCGTGCATTTCACTCAGTATCCATTCAATTATTCACGTGCTTATGTATTCACTTGACAAAGCATTAACATATTAACTGTGACCCAAGTGCTGGGGGGGTTGGAGAAGGACCTGATCCAAGTGTAGAGCCTGAAGAGGTTGGGGCAGGAGATAAAACAGTGACTCTGAAATCTCTCCCAGCTGGAAGTATTAGGGCTGAGGCTCTGTGGGGGTAGCAAAAGGGATAAAATGTCAGAGGAGAGAAGTGTGGGTCCAAGAGGATACACTGGAAATGGACTCAGCCACACACGGCTCGCAGGAACTTTCCATGGAGGGGTTCCACAGAGGAGAGTGGAGTGGCAGGGGGCTCCACCAGGAGTCGGCATTGGAGCTGGGCCAGGTGGGCATTTCATGAAGACCCTCATGGTGCCTCATCAGGAATCAGGTCAGCTGTTTAGTGCAAGACATGCATGGAGCCACATTTACCCCTGGGCTGAGAACTGGAAAGGGTTTCAAACTTCAGCTCTCCAGTTGCCATCTTGAAACCACAGTGAGCGGGAGAAGCAGAAAGAACATTGAGGGGACACGGTGGAGAGCTCAGGGTTGGTCTCAGCAGCCAACACAGGTATGACCTGCATCACTTATCCTGTCCTGCCCTCCATCACTTTTCCCTTCTGCAAAATTTGTGACTTGAACTCCATGATGTCTGAGGGCCCTTCTGGGTCTGAATCCCTGAAAAGCATCAGTCTCAGAACTACAAGGTCTTCTGAGCACTCCTGGCCTGAGCCTCAGTTCTCTGTCCAAGCCAGACTCTGACCACAGTCTCCCTGACACAGGGGCATCTCTGTTCAAACACCCCAAAGATGAGATGCTTGCTGCCCACGAGGCACCATGCCACAGTGGGTGAGGGTGGGTGACACCCCCTTATCTTACTGAGATCTTCCATCTGCCATCCCCATCCCAGGTGCGGACTTCCCAGTGATCCATTCAACAAGGGAGTTCCTGCTCCTGGTGACCTCATTCTAGCCCACAGCTGTTAAGTACCTACCACTCCCCAGGTGCTAGAAAATCCACACACCATCCCCAAACAGCTCCCCTTTGACCCTGGTGGATGTTTTACAATCCTGGCCTTTAACCACCTGGTGCCACTAGAACCCCAGTTGTGACAACCAAAGATGTCTTCAGATACTTGATACCCAATGTCCACTGAGTGGGGGTAGGGTGACCCAGTGTCCCTGGTGGAGAAGTGCAGACAGCGGCTCCCCAACTCCCAGAGCCTCTCATGTGGAGCTGCCTACTTCCTAACTCCTGGACAACCAACCTTGGAAACCTTTCCCAAGTCCTGCCTGTCCAGGCTGGCCTTACACCTTTTCAGCTTGCTGAAATCTCATACAATCTTTGCACAGATTTTTTTTTTTTTTAGAGATAAAGAAATAGGGCTCAGAGGAATTAAGTAGCTCATATATGCAAAGCCATGGCTGAAACCTTGGTTTCTAACTGTGTCCACTCACTCCTCAAGGGAGGATCCAAGCACACAAGCTGCTCTGTTCCAGGCAGGCTCTTCCATTGTCTTGAACAAGTATCCCTCCCTTAATCTTAGGCAATAGGCCAGGGTGTGACCTTGAGTTCTATTCACTCCTTCAATAAGCATTTCAGTCAATGCCAAGGTCATCCAATGGGATCCCTTCATTTCTGCTAGTGAGCAATGAAAGTTTGTTATAAATAGCCTGGAAAGATGAGCCTGGGAGAAAAGCGAGAGAATGTGAGCTGCTTGTACAGCAGGCATCTTGAGGTCAAGTTTAATGCTTTTCCTTTATAGAGGGCACTGATGCTCAGAGAAGGGACATGAGGTATCCCAGGGCAACCAAGGGCCTCACAGTGGAGCTAAGCTTGTGGGTCTTTTTAAGCCTCCCCACTTGTTCACCTCACTGTCTGGATCACACTTTGGGGAGCCTGTTTCTGAACACCAGTGAATAATGCGTTGGGTTAGGTACATTTTTCTAACAAAGCTAGGACCCTTGAGATGTGCTGTGGAGAGGAAAATGTGGAGTGACAGAAGGAAAATGACATTGTCTATCAGTTGTCTAAACCTGATCACAACTGTCACTCTGCAGATGAACTGAGATGTGGAAAGGTGTCCCAAGTCCATGTTCGAGCAAGAACAGAACTGGGACTTGATCCCCCTTTGTGATTGCATAAGTTCTGTGCTAATCAGTACTCAGCAGCCCCAGAAAGGGAACAACCCTGTCACTTTGGGCTGCACTTCTTCCTCTCATTAGGAGGAGGGCAAGGTTGACAGAGCTAAGAGAGAAGCAACACAAGGAAGCCTTGGTTGGGAGGAGAAGGTACAAGTTTAAGACTTTACTCAGCCTGCACTTGCCTGAGTGCCTTGTGTGACAGGCAGACCTCTAAAGTCCATCTCCACCAACATTCTAGGACTGCTGCACCTTAGAATATTTCCCAGAACTGGACATTTGAACTGTGACATAGCTTGGGTTGATAGCTAGCTCTTAATTCCTGAAGAAAGTTGGCCTTGGAGCAAGCTAGTGGGTCATTTGTCTGCAATGTCTTAATGAGGTTTTGAATATGGAAATAGAAGTTGAGAAAGGAAACAGAGAAGCAAAATACTGCCTAATAAGGAAAGGCATGAGCTTCCTTCTGGGGCAGCTTGGAGAGGTGGGGAGAGGGCAGGTGTCAGGAGGGGCACAAAGCTCAGAGCTCAGCGGGGTGGGGGGCGGCAGCACCTGAGGGAGAGCATGTGATCTGGAGGGGCCTGAGGGGCGCTGTCCATCTCTTTCTGCCTGTGGATTTCTGAGCTAATGCTTTCCCCCAACCCCAATCTACTGGTTAAGTCCTGGGTCAAGGAAGCTTTTTTGGACATTAAGAACAAGGGTCTGGGTTCCACATTTGGGCTCATGTGGGGAAGAGAGAAAAAAGCAGTTACATGAGTAAAATAAGACCACAAATTCAAGAAACTAGAAACTGGGGGAGGGGACCAGGAAAAACAGAGGCCTCTCCTACAATTCCCAGGACTGTGAGCTGGGGGAGAGGCACTAGATTTCTGACATGTACAGAATGACAGGAAGGGTGTGTCCCTAGGTCTGGAGAACCTAGGGACTGTGTCTATGGGCATGACACCTGGAGCTGTGCAGAGCACAACCCACATGGCCACAGGGGGTGGCAGTTTGGGGACAGGTTGGTTTCAAGAAGCTTTTGGAGGCATTGATGTGAAAGATACATTTTGAACAGGCCCCAGTGGGACAGAGGGACCTGTTTTCTTCTCCAGCTCATTCTTTCTTCTGCCTTTAAGGGAGCGAGGTAGAAACATCGAAACCCACACCGGGGTCTGTGTACCTTCCACCAAATGGATCTGTTCTGGGATGGATCCATTGTCTTCCAGGGGGGAGCAGGAAGGTGACACTCCAAGTCCTGGCTTAGAGTTCAGACACACAGTGGGCCCACCTTCGGCCACCTGCAGATCATGCGTGTAAAGCCTTCGCCTGGGGACTGACTTCCACCCCACAGTTGCCAGCATTCCAGGGCTGTGGTGCTCGTGGCTGTATTCCCAGAAGGATGCCCATCCACAATGTCAATATCATGACAAGGAAGTCAGCATTCCCAATCTGTATTCTATGAGCACTAACTGTGAGGTACAAAGTGGTGCAAAACAGGCTCTAGAAGACTTTAGGTGTTGCTAGGATTATCAGTCAGCCATGTGTTTTTACAGCAGGCCAAGCTACACTACATCAGGAGTTTCCTAAACAGGGAGGGACGATGTGCACGCAGCATCTGCCAAAAGCATCTAAACGCAGAGGCCTCTCTTTTTCGGTGGGGACCTTCACTACTATTTCCAGGAACCAGGGATATTTATGTCGAGCACGGTTAGATACAAGGCTCACAGTGATGACACTACCTAATAGCATTTCTGGTTATGTCACTTACGTTATCTTGTTTAATCTTCCAAAGGGTCTTTTAAGTTGGTTCTATAATCATGGTCACTTTTCAGAAAAGGAAACTGAGGCCTGGGAAGTTTCTGTCCGTCCCCGTGACTCTGTTCTTTAACCTCAAGGTTCTGCTGAGCCCAGCAAGAGTAAAAAGATGTATGCAGTGGGGGAAGGGTCAGGGAGTCTGCTGACCTCTGTAGTGGAATTTTGGAGTGACATCATTCAAAGCCATGCCCGAGGCCAGAGAGAGCAGAAGTCAAGAAGTCCACATTTTTATCAGTTAGGAGAGGAGTGAGAAGCAGGAATTGGTAGAAATGTTGACTTCTGACCACTCTTAGCAAAAGTGGCTCGATGTTCTTGTTGAAGCTAGCAGAACTGTCATCCCACGTGGTCACAGAACCATCCCTGGATTTCAATGAACAAACTAATCACTCCCCACCTATGTAGCTTGGTGCATTTGGGGTGGACAGTCCTTTGCCTCTCTCTTCGTTTGGTTGATAATGGGAACTCAGTTGCTATCTTTTGGAAGATAAGTTTAAATCTGAGCCAAGGATGGTTGAACCCCTGACCTCAGACAGTGTCTAGATAAACACCTTTCTGGCAGGCACTTACCAACAGGCCATTGGAACCGTGGACCGTGACACAGCGGGAGAACGTGTGGTGGATGGACAGGTCCCTGATGTACGTGGGTGGGTTGTAGCCTCCCTTTTCGTCCACATCTCCCGCCAAGTGGAAGTGAATTGGGTACTGGCCCACCAGCTGTTGGCCCATGTGCTTGAGCTCCACGCCCTCCAGGTGTGCTGCCTTGAACCCCAGAGCAAACTGGGAGAGGAGAGAGAGCGTCAGAGGAGCCTCACGTATACCCTCATCCCCCTGGCTGGCGCCCACCCTCTCAGTGGGTCAGTCTTCAGAAGTCTAAGCTGTTCTGTGTGCATGACTCCGATGCCCAGTCCATCTCACACTGAGGGAGGTAAGCAAGTCCTCACTAACAGTGAGACTACTTGTAGCTGAGGTGTCTGGACAGGCTGGGTGACAGTTGGGACTTGCTTTGACCTTCCTCTCCTGCCTTCTAAGCCACCATTGTTATGTGGAAGGGATAACCCTGAGATAACCTGTGGGGAGCTGGCATAAAACATGGGGACCATGGGACAGCAATGGAGACCTCCAGGAGGAGGGAAGGGATGTTGATCCTGGAGATGTAGGATCCCCCACTTTGGAGGCATGTGAGTGAGTGGCAGGTGCTCCACATGTTCACGCACAGTAGCTCAGAGCTGGCCCCCTGGACACATGTGCTTTCCAAGAAAGCACAGTCTGGAAGTCTAGAAATTCCTGCCAAAGGTCAGCCTCAGCCAAGTCCTGCTGGAGGAGCACGATCTACTATTTCTGCCAGAAACAGGAGTCAACTGGTTGCCAGTACCAGAAGTGGATGCTCTGTGGAGGTGTGCTGAGAGGGATTCGGAGCCAAGTTTGGGTAGGTAAGAATGACTGGTCCTTCAGGACCACTCTCACGGTGGGAAAGGGGTGCAGCAGTGTGTACTCTTTCTTTCTTTCCTTCATTCCTTCCTTTCTCCCTTCCTCCCTCCCTCCCTCCCTTCTTTCCTGTCTTTCTCCATCCCTCCCTCCCTCTGTCCTTTCCTTCCCTCCCTCCCTCCTGCCTTCCCTCTCTCCCTCTCTCCTTCTCCTTTCCCTTTTCTTTGAGACAGGGTCTTGCTATAGGCATAGGCTGGCCTCAAAAACTCCTGCTCTCCTGCCTCAGTCTCTCAAGTGCTGAGATTACAGGCATATACCACCTTGCCTTGCCTGAGACCTGCTATTTCTGCTGCAGTCTCAATAACCACTTTCTCAACTTCCCCCACCCCGGGAAAAGACCAGGAATGTGTGGCAGTGTTTTTGGTGGTGACAGTACTGAAAGCATCTGATGGTTAGTGGCCAGGAGTGACAAAAAAGTCCTTAATATAGGCTTGTATCACAAAAAGTTGTCTCATGTAAAATGCCTGCAGGGTCCCATTTAAGCTCTGTTTCCCTCCATGAGCCTCTTTGGTTAACTACCCAAAAGTCTAATCCTTAAAGCACAATGTTTTAGCTTTAAGGAAACTCTTTTCACAAAGCTCCAAGATAACTTGATGCTCTCAACTCTGCATCGAAACCACTGAGCACAGAAAGAGCTTCTGGGTGTCTTATGCTGTCTAACAGGCCTGGCAAAGGCATTTTGTATAAAGGAGCGACAGAAATTCCTCTTCTGCTAGGAGAACGGGAGCTCCCATGAACAAGTTCCCAGTTGCTTCTTTACTGCACAGTGAGAGACCTGTCGCTCAGAGTGTCTCTTCCTTGACTACCAAGGAATCACCGGTGCATTTTATATGCAACTTCTAATTACTCTCCTGCTTGTTGTTCTGTCTGTATTATAATGGATCTAACGCAAACATGGTTTTTTTTGCGTGTGTGTGAACTAAATGCTCATTTTTTAAAGAAATTATCAAGAGGCTTGGTGATACACACCTGTAATCCCAGCACTCTGGAGGATGAGGCAGAAGGATTGAGAGCCAGCCTAGGCTACATAGCAAGACCATGCCTCAAAACACAAAACAAAAACACCTCCCAAACAACAAAAAAGAAGAGAAAGGAGAAATGAAAACAAGACTCTTTAAGATCTTGTAATCTAAATGAAGTCACAATCATCCAGAGTCTGGCTTCAGTACAAGTCCAGAGAAATACTTTTGTCAAAGAATCCACAGTTGAATAGGCTCAAGAAAAATGAAAGAAATGACCAGGGTAAACAATAAAGACAGGTGATGGAGGCAGTGATGGAGCCAAGTGTGCAGTGTCCCCGAGGCCTTGAATCAAGAGCCATTCCCAAGCAGGCTCCATCATTTGACGGGTGTAACTGCATCCCAGTGGACGAGACGTCTCCAACTTCCCAAAGTGCATTTCCTTGATCCCCCCAACCCCAGGAACCCCGGCCACAGGCCCGCACCTCAGGCACTCTCCTGGTTGGGTGGACAGCCTGACCCTCAGCCAGGCAGAACCATACCTTGATGTGACCCCCAAAGGTGTCAAAGTCAAAGAAGTTGCAGATGTGGTTGCCGTAAGGGTAGCATTTGTTCTCCGTGGCTCCCATCACCAGGATATTCCGGCTCAGGAGCCCAACTTCTGCCCGCATGTCCACACCATCTATCTCCTCCCCGATGTGCAGGTACAGTGGTTTCCCTAGGGCAGAGAGGGGCAGTTGGGAATAGCAGGACTGCATGTCCACTGTGCTCTGGGCCCTTGCCAGGTGCTCCGTGGTCGTAATTCACTCGTCACCAGGCCCTGTGTGCATGGCAATGCTCATGGCCCCTGGCAAGTGAAGCCTTAAGGTAGAGCCAGGATTCACAGCTATGCATGCTTAGCTCTTAAGTCCCCTGCAGAAATGTCTAATTGGCCCCCTAGCACTTGTTCCTTTTCTCCATTTTAGACTCTCCTGCATTTTACCTGGACACCTGGCTGCCAGGGAGCTCTGTTTTCCAGCCTCCCTACAGTTAGGTGTGATCACTGTGAGCAGAAGGGTTAAGCAACTTCAGGGCTCAGGGTTGCTCTCTGCCCAGGAGCTGGAAAGGATACAGGTCCTGGTGCACCAGCCTCACCTGAGCAGATAAGAACCACGCCCTAGAGCAAACCAGAGAGAAGGAACCCGTCTCCAATGACCCCACAGAGCTGCCTTCCTGCTGGGATCTTAGGATAAAGCAAACTTTGTCTTTAAAGCCCCTGTGTCAAAGCAAAGCCAATCTGTGTTCCGCTCCTTCAGCCTCCTGTAAGGATGAGTATCTACAGCCTGCTGCTCTATAAAGGCCAGCTTGGAGCCCCATGTCCACCACTGTGGTCTGAGCACCTCCGTGGCACTTGTGGAGCAGAGGGGAATGCTTGTACCCTACTGTGTACTGACCTCATCCCTCCTTTCGGCCTCAGAGCAGAGGACGCTGTCCCTATGCCACTGACACCAACCCCACTGCTCCCCGCAGTCTTAGGTCCTTTGACTCCCAGGATCCCTGGGCCCTCCCAGTAACTTGACTTCTCCTCTCACTCGGACTTCCCACACTCTGGTCTCAACCCTCTTCCTATCCCTGAAAACCTTAACAAAGAACCCTCCCCAAACCCCAACTCGTATCAGCTTCCTTCCTGCTGTGGCCGGAAGCTCTGAACCTGTGCTTTGTGCCCCACTCTGTTTTCTCTCCACCATCTCTCTCCCACAAATCTACTCCATCTCCTGCCAAGTGCTTTTAATGCTTCCCTTCCCATCTCCCCTTCCTCCGTCCCTGCAGAAAGTGCACCTTAAGAAGGGTGACCGGAGTCCCAGCCCTAAATTCTACCTCCATGACAACCCCAGATTCTTCTCTGGAACAAAGAAATCAGCCTGGCTCTAAATTTGGCTCATCACTAAGATTGCTGGCCTGGCCCGAGGACCCTTTCTATTCCACCTGAGGATGCAATTTCAAAAAGCAAAAGTCTCTCATGTGGACTCTCAGCCTGAACCACACCACCTACACCACTTGGCTTTCACTGTGACCTTGACTTGAGCAACTGAGAGATACCACCGGTGCTCACATGTGAAGGCCCAGGTTATAATTAGCCCCAAGTAACACCCTCCACAGTGACCTTCCTCCTCTTTCCCATCCACAGGAAGCTCTGACCCCTGCCTGCCCCTTCACCTGCCCACATCCTGTGAGCCTGAAGCGTTGCTACGGATGTGCACAGCTGGGAATTGTGCAGACTCAGTGAGATGGTGGTATTTTGAAGCACTGCAGTTCAAGATGTGAAACTGATGTGTGGTGAAATGTTGAAAATAACTCCATGAGAGGTGGGATCAGTTCCTATTGCTGCTGTAACAAATCACCACCGATCTAGTGATTTGCACAACAAAGACTTATTCTCTACAGTTCTGGAGGCCAGAAATGAGTCTTATGGCTGGGATGGGTCCTCATGGATTCTGCTCCTTGTACTTTTCGGATTCTAGTTGGCCCCTGTGTGCCTTGGCTCCTGACCCGGTCTTCACACACACATCCCTGCAATCTCTGCTCTGCCACATATCACTATCTTCTGTCTGCTTCCTTCCTCCCTGTACCTACATTGGGCCACCTGGATAATCCAGGATAATCTCACATCTCCAGAGCCTATTTTAATCACAGCTGCAGCGTTCCTTTCACAGGGACTGGGGATTAGAATGTAGGCCTATTTGGAGGCATTGTTCAGCCTCCCAGAGTCCTTCTTAACAGAGTCCCAGGCATTACAGTTAACAAATACCTGAGATAAATCAACTCAAGAACAGGAAAGGTTTCCTTTGGCTCACAGGTTCAGTCCATGACCCACTGGCCCTGTGGCTTTGGACCTGGGTAGGATAGCTCTTCATGCTGGAAGCATAAGGCAGAAGAAGTCTGTTCACTTCATGGCCAGGAATAAACAGAGAAGGGAAGAGACCAGTGTTCCACAGTCCCCACCAAATGACACCCTCCAATGACCTAAAGCCTTCCATTAGGTTCAACTACCTCCCAATAGCACCAAGCTGAGGATTAGGGCCTTAACACAAGGGCGTTTGGGGACATTAGAGATCCAAACGAAGGCAGACATTTTGAAAAGCAGCTTCAGAGTCCATTTACTGTAATGTACTCTTATCCTCTGAGATAGCTGAAGCCAAAGTCTGTGCCTGGCCAAAGGGGTCCACTCTGTTGCAGGAGTGGACACCATGCATTGAGCTGTCAGGTCATCTGTCCTTCCAGGGTTCTGACATGTGACAGCCAGAGAATCTGAAACAAGTTAACTCTGTGCATCTCACCACAGCTTCGGGTTTGGTTTTACAAACCAAACATCTTTACAGTTCCCAGGTCCAGAGCAGGATTCCTCTGACCACCCATGGAGATACCTCTCCTTCCATCCCTGGCTGGTCTCCTGCACATCAGCTCTATGACCTTCACAGGGCCTTCCAGGGTATGGGGGCAGAGTCTCTCTCAAATGAGCTTGGCAGGACTTTTAAGTGACCACTGGCTTGGGGAAACCAGATAGAAGGCTGTGCCTGGAGCTTATAGATGGGTGTGGAGAAGAGAGATTATGAGTGCAGCAAAGGGGATACTGAAAATAGCTTATAGCCATCTGTAATCATGGGAAATCAGACACAGAAGGGTTTTCCTCAGTCCTTAAGCCTTCCCTTCGAGGAAACAGAAGGTCAGATGGCGCTCCTGGGCCACGACTGCCCCCAGGGGCTGCTTCTCTTAACCACTTGACTCTGAGGTTTGACCACCATGAGCTTGGACCTTTCCCAAGAATGACACCTTTGGCGTAATGCTCCCACTCTGTGACTTGAAGCCCGTGCCCAATGAGGGCAGGAAACCCCTCTTTCCAGAACATCTGGACTCGCCATATAGCAGTCATCTTATCTCCAAGTAGAAGTGCTCTCTTGGGACAGTCACAGGAATGTGCTGCTGTGAGAGCTCACTTCAAGAGTGCCAGCCGGGAAGAAAGTAGCGAGCAGACAACCCCCAGCTGCCATGCCTGTTTTCCCATGGTTATGGTCTCCTTGGACTTGTCCCATGACTACACCCAGCAGAGGTACACTAGAAGGCTATCTCTGTACCGGGAAGATTCCTGCTAGGGAATCTGTGTCCCAGAGCTCTGGTTGGCCTGCCTGGCTTTCTCAGAGCTGCCCTGGAGTCTCAGGTGCTTCCTGCCTGCTTATCCATCCTTTCCGAATCTCCCCTTCTTATGTGTCAGACTCACAGCCTCCCTGCCCCTACTCCTCTTTCCTTTGTCCTTCACATACATACGCCAGGAAATCACTGCACATCTAATTCTGTCTGGAAATCTCTTCCTTTGTTTTACTCTTGTCAGTGGAAAATCTTGGAAGTTATTAAGGAGATTCAAGAATTTTTAGCCTCCTTGGTTTCTCTACCTGTTCTTATCTCCTAAACCACCCCCGGCCAAGATGCTCCTGCTGTAATTGGATCAGGACAAATGAGCCCTTTTTCACAGAACTGGGGCACCTTTCCCTAAGGGCTTCCTGGATCCTAGTCTTCCCAGCCCTGTGCTTTTGGCTATTCTGGACCCAGAGCCTAGGGGACACTCCAAGGGATGGCTGTGTAGGCAACACTCAGAGAAACTCACAAAGGTACCTCAACCAAGCAAGGCTGCCTTCAGCTGTTCTAGGGTGGAGAGGAGAACTGACTGCCAATGCCCCAGTGAAGCTCAGAGCTGCTAATGAATGGGCCAGAGCAAAGATGGGGAGCTCCAGGGTTGGGTCCTAAGAGACACTGCACAGAGCACACTTCCCAGAGGATGGCCCCAAAGCCTGAACATATGGGGGGACAGTTTGCAGAGACCACAGGCTCAGCCCTGCCAGCCAGGGCTACAGGAAAGGGATATGTTTTTCATGAGGCTGTGAGGAGCTCAGCTCCTTGGTCTAAGAGACGGGTGAGGGCTCTTATCCCATCACTTCCCCACACTCCTCTTCCAGCCACGTTAGAGTGCCATCTTGCCTCAAGTACATCTCCATCTGACACCTCACAGCTTCACCCGTTGGCTCTCTCTAGGTGGGACAGTCTTTCTACACTTTGTGCAAGGGAAAAATTCTGGGTCCTTTAAGATCCAGCTGCAGGAAGCCTTCCCTAACACATTCAATGTTAGCCTTTCTTTCTCAGTGTTCCACAGTGCTGGGCAGAGTGGAAAAATGGGCCAAGCCCCTTCCCTGGTCTTCCCACGATCCCTCATTTCGTGTAAATCGGTGTTGTGGAGACTTCTCTCAGCTTGCCTGCAGCCCCCTTAAAAATACAGTATCCAAGCAGGACAGGACCAGGGGCTTCTGTTCCTGTGGGTGACCAAAGGGCTTTCCTCAGGGATCCAGTCTTAAACATGGCTGGAGAGGTAGGAGAGTGTGACGGGGAGGCTGTGGCTCTAGAACCACGCTGTGTGACTCCATCTGTAGTTGGGTCCCTAGTGTGTGGTTTAAGCTTTCTGAACCTCCGGTTCTTCATCTATAAAACATAGATAATAATAGCACACCCCCCAAAGGTAGCTACGATTGTCAAGCAAGTTAATCCATGGAATGTACTTAAAACAAGACCTGGCACATGGCAGGAGGCTGTATGACAGAAGTGACATATGCAGCTGTTACCAGCACTGTCCCCAGATCAAGGCTGGAACCCAAGCCTCCCACCTCTAGTGTGAGGCGGTAGTAACAAGAGTTG